ATTTTCATTCGTCGTATAATAAACATAGGAGTCTTTTATTTTGGAGTATATGCTTCAAGCATATCCTTTTGTTTCATTTGAATTTCTAATTTCTAATTTAGGCTACCAATAAATAATACACGTAACTGTTTTATCAAGTAGTACTAGCTCGTAAGTCGTAACATTGAGAATTGAGATCTACAAACTTCCCCGTAGTTAAAAGTTACGATTGTAAACTCGTTTTCGAGCAAGTCAACTTGTTTATCAAATTCTTTGCCAAAGATTAGTTCAAAGGGGAGCTTCTCATAGCACTTTTGGAAGAAAACTTTTTCATTCGAAGAAAATTACTAATTCAATCAAATATACGACAAAGGTGTATAATAATGTCACACCATATCGAAATGTTCTTTATTTAGATCAAACCTCATATTACCAATCTGTTTTTGACCTATCAATCTTATCGGTCAAGTTTTCCATCAAACACGTAATTTTTTATTTTGCACGTTAAATTGCGCGATAATCAAAATCAGTAAGATTATAGCTATTTTTGCTGAATTGGCTGAAGTCACCGTATAAGATGATTTTACCTAATTTTTCGTATAATTTATTAATAAAAATATTTCAAATATATTTTTAATAATTCAACAAACAACCAATCCAACCGTTTCAGCCAAAACTTCATTAATTCTAGCAAATTTAATCGATTTCAGGATTACTAAATGGGCTTTAGCTACTTCTCCAATATTTCAACTATTTTCTTTTGTATTGCATGCGTATTACAAAATGTGGATATATACATTCCTGCACAGAAATTTCTTATAAGAATGGCTACTATGGTTTTAACTAGGGATGGCAATGAGACGGGTTTGGGGCGGGGTACAGTCCCCCATCCCCCACCCCATGTCTAAAAAGTTTCCCCCATTCCCGCCTCATCCCCCGTTACTCCCAGACCCGCCCCTTCCCTTGTTACTCCCAGACCCGCCTCATCCCCTCCCCACCCCATTGTCCCCCATGGGTGCCCACGGGTGCCCCCATATAAATTTAATCTATCGTATTTGCATGTACTTTTAATTTCTTATTATAAATGTATGTAGTGTGATTCCAATGAAAACGATGCTTAACGTGGGAACACTCACATTTAATCCAATATGATACACAATAATCCAATGTGATACACAATAGAGTCATTCTAGTACACATTTGGACTTCGCTCAATATAAGCTAATATGAAAGTGCATTGTGCTAGATACAAAAAAGTGCATTGTGCTAGCCCATTGTGCTTCACATTGGGGGTAAATGTGGTGTTCGCACGTTCTAATGTTAAACGTTGTTCTCATTTGATCCTAAACCTATATATATCTACGCGCACACAGTGATATATGACGCACACACACGCAACACTGAAGTATTGTGCTGGTTAAAAGTCAATACCACCAATTTCAATAATTCTTCAATTTGAATAAGTTTTTTGAATTGAAGACAATTAAAGTAAAAATATAAGTAAACATATTATCATCATGTACGTTGTTTCAAAATTCTCAACAATTATAGTACAATTAATTACATATTATATTACATATAAATGTTTGTGTATTTATTTACTCACTTTCTCACTCTTAAAACTCATATATGGAGTAACATTTATGATAAATATTTTTAATCATCACTAGCTTATTATTATTCTAGTATAATATGTATTAATTCATTAACCATGATTAAACTGTATACAATTGTGTATGTCTATACGTATATATGCGTTTGTTATATACTACAAATAATTTAATTTAATGTGTACATTAATTATGTGTGTGTGTGTAGGGAACTCTTCCGGTAAGGTATACCTTACCGGAGCCGTCGTGCGGCCTCCACGTTTTGAGGGTCTTCCCGGTGGAATTTTTCGATGAAATTTTTTGAGCATGTTCTTCATCAAGTCTAGTACATCCATACCAAATTTCAGCAAAACATTCAATCGGGAAGGCAGTCAAATGATTTTTGGAAGATAACTGCAACCTTTATATACATATAAAACGCAGTTATCTTCCAAAAATCGTTTGACTGCCTTCCCTATTGCATTTTTTGCTGAAATTTGGTATGGATGTAATAGATTTGATGAAGAACGTGCTCAAAAAATTGCATCGAAAAATTCCACCGGGAAGGCCCTCAAAACGTGGAGGCCGCACGTGCGGTTCTAGTGAGAACAATGCTTAATGTGAGAAATGAGAACACATCAGAATCGTTGATCTATGGAAATTAACGCTCAAAACTTGTATGGTTCACTTCAACATTGTGTAGATAACCACACACTAATACATCCTTAAATATTAAACGGCTATTAAAAATGATAAACAAGGGCAGTCATGTAATATTATTTCTTTACCTCTTACGCATTTTCCCTAACTGGCACTTTCTTTCCTTAGTGGATTCCTACAATTATGCCACTTTGCTTGACATTTATCATCTTCATTTATATTAGTTTTATATTTAAAAAGAATATATTCTAGATACGAATATATAAAGTGTACTATTGTAATCGATTCAATTCATTTTTTTGTTGAAACGATTTACTTTGTTAATGGTGTATATTACAAGTATACTTGTGCAATGTATTGTAATATTAGTGTAAAAGTGTTATAATTTAGTTTATGTCAAGTAAATTTTAGTTTATGTGTGCAATTAAATATTATTAGTGCATAACTTGATCAAATCGTATAGTAAAGTAAGACGTCTAATAGGTATTGGATGAAGTGCATCAGTTATGTTCAAAGTTGCAATAAAAATTATTTTAAGGTGCACCTTTTTTTAATATGAAATCAAAAGAGCCTGATTAGAATTTACAGGTTGAAACTTTTTTAAAAAATTAAAGTGTATCACATGAAATTTAATTGTTCTTGAATGCACAAGAATAGTTATCTATTGCACAAGCGCCCATTTTTAATGCACATAAATCAACATTTAACGCAAACTTCATACAATAAGCACAACAATCGATATATACCGCACAAGAAAATAAATTTTAATTTAATGCATGAGTTAATAATCATACATTGATGTTCTTATAAAATATCATAAGTTGATGCACGTGAAATGAAGTCGAATGTAATACACATAACCCAATATTTAATACACAAAAAGAGAAAAGATACTATAGAATATAAAATAATACAAAAAATAATGTCAACCGAATGAAACGAAAAAAAAGTAATGCAATAATTGATTCCCTTAAAAATTGACCTCCGTAGGACTAAATTAGTAGTCAAATTCTCAAATAGGAGCACTGAAATTATATTCCCTAAATGGGACTACTATTCTGAAAGTACCCCTACGTGTAGCATTATCCTCCACCCAGACCTTTACCCCATCTCCACACATTACACATTCAACTTCTCTTTCTCCCTGACAACAACGAGCTCTCATCTTCTTCTCCTTCTCTCATCTTCTTCGATTGGCAACCTGCAGCAATGAGCGCTTCTGGTGCGGCGAGTGGCGGCGGCAAGTGGCGACATCGAGTGGTGGCGGCGAGCATCAGCGAGCATGGGCGAGCATAGGCAGAGTAAAGTTAGACATTCTTCTTCCTCCTTCCTCCTAGTTACACATTCTTCTTCCGGCCTCCTTCCTCCTTCTCATCTTCTGTGTTTGTCTCTTTCGAGCTTTTGTTTGGTTGTAGGTCTGATGACCATCTTCTTCTTTGATTGTTAAAATTGCCAATTTTTTCTAAAAATGCCATCAAAATGGCATTTTTGTTCTTCAAAAACTTTCTATTTTCCTTTGAAAATGTCATTAATATGGCATTTCTTGATTCATGTTGGCATTCTACTAAAATTTTGACGACATCGACGATGACGGTTGGAATTGCAGTCGCAGTGGCTGGATATGTGGCGGTGGCTGCGCAGTTGGTGGCCGGCGGCAGCCAAATCTGTTTAGATCTGCTGCGGCGGCGGCCGGATCTGCGGTGGCAGCGTCCAAATCTGCAAGGGCGGCTAGTTTTGATGATGCAGCGGCGTCTTGCGGCGGCCGGCGGTCGACGGCCGGCGGCGGTCTGTCCGGCGATTTGTTCAGTTCAGCGAGATTATGTTCGGTCAAGGTTTAGGGATATTTTTGTCTAACTACATGTAATAACTCCTATATGGGGAATTTTTAAACTTTAGTCCTACTTTGACAATTAGGTATTTAATTACTCCTATTTGGGTAAATCCCCCTTGATTCCCTGAAATAAGTGATCAGTTACCAAGTAGAAATAGGAGTAAATGCATATGTAGTTGACTAAAGTTATACGTTGGTGGCCATCAGATATTTACAAAATTAAACTGCCTATGCACAATTACCAAAATACCCAACAATAAATGACTTTAATCTTATTCGGATGTATAGAGATGAATGGCCGGGATATGTTCTCACTTTGTACGTTAAGAGGTGTTCTTATTTGAACCAAAACCTATATATATATATATATATATATATATGTGTGTGTGTGTGTGTGTGTGTGTGTGTGTGTGTGTGTGTGTGTGTGTGTGTGTTTGAGTGTATATTTATAACGGGGGACGGGGCGGGTGTAGCAATACCCGTCCCCGCCCCATATTTTAACGGGGTAAAAATATTTCACCCATCACCGCCCCCACCCCGTTATAACGGTATCAAGTATGGATCAACGCAGATAAATCTTTAATTTAGATCAGTTCACATTTGTTCAGACGAAAAGAATAGATTCCCATACTTATCAGCAAAATAAGTTACAATTGACTAATTTGGACTAAAAACGTTTTTCATTCCAGAAATTTAGCTCATTTCTCCAGTTCAGCCAATAGCATTTACCAAACGGCTTATAGCTGATAGAGTTTAGCTGATAGCTCAAAGCCTCAAAATGCTATTGGCAATTTCAATGAAATTGGCTGCTAAACCAAATTTTTTCTATTATTATGGTTTTAGCAGGTAGCCCGGTATACTATTTGACAAACTAGGTCTAACATATGTGCATTCGTCTCCTGATTCCTGAGATGAGTTGACAACACTTGATAAAACAAAAATGCTTCAAAAAAAAATGTTTCTTGTCAAAAGAAGTGGTAAACGTAACTTATTATAGTAGTACCTGTAAACTAGTAATAAAAGCATTAGAGTACAGCGTGTGAGTCGGCATCACTATAGAATAAATAGTGTTCCATCTCAACATGAAATGGTACCAACTGAGTTCAATATGTTGCAGGCAGAGTACTGGTGGCAGCAGCAGCAAACAATCTCTTTCAAAGAAGCAGAGCGTTGTTAACAAGGCAACATAATCAATATTCCATACTTTGCAGAAGACTGAAGTTGTAGAATTAACTATTAAAGTACTACTAGTTTCAAGATGAGTTCTAGTATTCCCCCAACTAATTAGCCCTGGCTAGTAAATTAATGGATTCCATCACTGAACACCTGCAGCTACTAAAACTATGCATTTTTTGTAAAACCATCACATACCGATACCACCAGAGCGATACCATCACAGCTCCACTCAACAAAACCACAAAATTCATTAGTCCTATGACACAGATTTCGGGTTCCCGAACACAGAACAACAAAATCGACAACTTGTCTTGATAGTAAGTGTAAAATCAGCTTCTTTGACGTACCCTTCTGCCATTGGAATCCCCACCGCCATCAGAAAGCTGTGCCCAAACACTTTGAGACTTCAAGACCCCTCCGCTCTTGCAATCGTCATCGCAACCAGCGACCGTCTTCAGAAGCTCTGATTGGAGTGACGGGCAGTTTTCTTTTAGATATTCAAACCCATCTGACTGCATCACAGCTGCACCACCAAGATACCCGATCAATATATATATCTAAATCATCAGCCCAAAGAGGCGCTGTTAGTTTTTTCAACTTTAATGAGTGCTGTTATTTTATCTTGTATTTCTTTATGCTGGTTTTACCTAAGAAAATGCAAACCCAAATGAAATATGATTAATGTTTTAAGAATTTCTACATATATTTAGATTTATTAGTATTTACATTTTTTAAATAAATGAAATATTATTGCCAAATTTTGAAAATAAATGTATTGAGATTGAGTTTGCCTTTTATTCCCACCATCTTTTGTCCTTCCAATTTGCGTAACTGTTTTCTTGGCCTAGTATTTTCTAGATTCCTAAGGACCCAAAGGGTACAATTATATTCCATATAATGCTAGAAAAAGGGAAGACGTAATTGTTAAATAAAGTTTTTTTCAGATGTTTTGTTTTACCTTTACAAATGAAAACGACAACACGGTCAGATATTTTCCAAAAATTTACATATACTTACATGTATCTGTTATTGTGTATTATATAATAGGACTAATTAAATAGAAATAAGAGTAACCAAAAGCCAAAAATAATTAAATTATTTTAGTCTCTTTTCTTTAGGCCCAAATTACCTTTCCTTAAAATTTCCTGCTATGGTTTGTTTGCTGTTTCTTTCCCTAGTATATTTTTTGCTCTAAACGGAACATAGGTGAATGTGGGATGTGGGTGTGGTGAAATCCTTGCAACTGAAGTATGATCTACGTTTCTAAATAGTTGTGCCCAGTTCTTGCCTAGAGGCTAGACCTCCCTTGGCCGCCTACAAATTTTCAGGTTAACCTCGCCTAACCCTACATGTACTTAATTGACCCTGTCATGCCTGGCCGAAACTCTCACCCCAGAGTGGTTTAGCTTTTTAACTGAAAATCCTCTATGAAAATGAAATGACAGATAGTGTTATTAATATTATTTTAGAAGCCACTCCAAGACCCTATGTTTTGTACAAAATCATAGGAGCATCTGAATTCTGAATAGATTGGGTATCTTCTCTTCCTTTCATACTCCCTCCGGCCCCGAAACAACATCCCGGTTTGGCTTGCACACATATTAAGGAAATAAACTTACCAGGGGGTAAATTTTACTGTTTTGACACTGTTTGGCACTGTTTTGCGCTGTTTGGCACTGTTTTGATGTAGATAATTTTCCATTTAAGGAAATGGGAAGTTAAATTAGGGACATCCAAATAAGGAAAGTGGGAAGTTGTTTCAGGAACGGAGGGAGTTTAATATATTAAGATTATGATTAAATGAATACACCTCCGGTTCCAAAAGAAAAAGAGACATGTTTGACAAGATAAGACTTTTCATTTTTGACAAAGGTAAAACTAAGAATCATAAAATCATGATTCAACTTTTTAAAATTTTGTATGCTAGTTTATCTAAATGTATCATATTCAACTTTTTTATAAAGTTCTTAACAAATTTTTAGAAATTACATCAAAAATGGCTTTGCGTTATTTGACTAAACATGAGTATTTTGGTTTTTTTAAAGATGACTGTTTTTTAAGGATGGACGGAAGCCAATATTACAGACTAAGGGACAAGAAGAAGAGGAAGAAGAGGAATATAAAAGAATCATACCAGGAAGGTTTTCAGCAGCATATCTAAGACAGACAGCTTTGAGTTCTGTGGCATGATACTTATCAGCAAGAGCCAGAATATTAGCTACAGAATTTACAGATATATATTTGCAGAGACGAACTTCACACATTCGTCTGAGTCTTCCCAATTCATAACGGTCAGCTGCTGCTAGCAATTTCGCAGTTAATGTATCAGATATAGAAGGGACAGAAGAAGAACTAGATGCCTCTGGGTCTTCTTCCATAAGAGTGTCTCTATATACAAAATGCAGCATAGCCTGTTGCATACCACATAAATGTTAACAAAAAAGGTATACAATCCATCCGTCCTGTAAGCTTCCTGCTCTCTTTTTTGTCCGTCCCAAATAATCTTTTAAGGAAAGAATTGTGCGTTTAATATTGTTACTTTAATACTTTCAATTTGAAGTATAACTCTACACAAGATATCATTTCACTAATATTTCTCTCTTGTTAGTCTTAGTCTCTTAAATTAGAAAACAACTAAATATTTTGTTTAATAATATACTTCTTCTATACATTCTTTCATCTTAACTTTCACTCTAGCCAGTAATCTGATAGTGTAGCAATTAGTAATCATAATAAATATCACCCCTTCCCCACCCCCCTTCCAAAACAAATAAGGGCTTAATAAATCTGCTAATATTAAAATTGATACATTAATTATCATTCACAAATTCAATGCCCACTGCAGGCAAGGAAAATTCAATTCCTCACTACCAGTAATGAAAATGTATATGCTCTGTTGCTAACCTCAAAGACCTTGGGTTCCATATCAGTAACTACAATTTCCTTTTTATCATCGTCCGCAACATCAAGTAACTGTGATTGAAAAACTGGAGAACGAGCAGCCAAAACCATTTTATGGGCATTAAATCTTTCCCCAGCCACATTGTAAACAGTATCAGAGCCTTCCATATTATCCAAAAGCATGCCAATATGTGCACCAATGTCAGAATCTGGGACTTGAATAGAATGCAAGCTTAGACAATCTATTGTGGAACGTACAACTCCGACAGTACAATTAATTTTCAAGCAGTCATCTTTAAGGTAATCTGAAGTTTCAAGTGATGTTCGTCTGAAAAAACGTTTGTACCCCCTGCATAGTTTCGCATATTAAGAAGTCAGATTCCCAGGTTGCGAAAGAGGCCGCATGAAATAAGAGCAAAAATTGTATCGCAAAGTAATATAAATGTAATTGCACAGTTCCTTATGGCCAGTTGGGATATAGGGTTTTGGAGAGGAACATTTGGGAGGGCTTAGTCTATATATTGATAAGTGAAATGCTTCTAAATCTAAAAACTATGAGGTTGATTGAAGTCAAGGTAGTAAAAGTCGTGAGGCGCGCTCAAGGAGCAAAAAAGCGCTCTGCTGACTCATACCAAGCGCACAGTTTACAAATTGAACAACTATTCTAGAATTATTGAACAAAATGCATTAAAATGACATAAGCATAATAATTTAGATACTTCCATAATTCATTTTTATAAATGCATTCTTCAAAATAACATAAAAGTAAATTCAATAACGAAATCATGCATCACTTTTATCATCAACAAGCCTACGACTAGAGCTTGTACAAGAAGATATGGATGCCTCATAATAAATCTCATCGGTTCTTCTAACTCCTAGTGCTCTACTCGCATCTGAGAAGAGTTTTTGCTGTTTTATCCAAGTACTTACTTGGATGGGCTCATCTACTGATACCTTAATATGCATATGGGTTTGTGGAGAAATAGGCACAAATATAATTTTTTTAAAAGAAAAATAGGCCGAGAAGCCTTACTCGACCCAGTCGCCACAGGCATGTGCCTCTGCGCTTTATATGCGCCTGGACACTTGAAGCGCTTAATCTATTTAGCACCTCGCCTGGTTCTCTTAAGCGCTCCAGCGCTTGCCTTTGACTACCTTCTTTGAAATGTTACATGATTAAATTATATGTTATTCACTTTATTCTTATAAATCTCAAATATATGTCAAGATATAAGCTTGGCCCTCAAAAACCCTCCATCTGAACTACCCTTAGAGGCTTAGACAATATATGTCTAAATTGTTTTGTATTGTGGACTTTTTTTGTTGACTCTGCCACGTGTGGCTTTTGAATGCTTTGTTTTGATTAATGACCGTAGACAATTTATTGTGCAACGGCATTTTGTTTTGATTGCTTTGGAACCGGGGTACGTCCCGTGTTTCTTTTTGTACACATTTTTTGATGATTCGCGGATATATACATGTACCTTTTATCCGTTAGACAATAACCATTGCGGGAAAAAAGCAATGGCTGGACAACATAGACATGCTTACTTCAGATGTGTGCAAAGAACGGGTGGCTGAACAGTGAACTTTGGCAACAAAATCACAGTACCAAAATCAACATCAAGATCACTAAATAAACAAGATTACAATGCACAGAGAGGTACAGGTCTTAGACAGACATGAAAGAGGGAAAGATTGCCAGGCAGGCACATGAACTGTAATGGTACAGATAAAAATGGGATCAAAGTAGACAAGGAGATAAGATGCAATGAGGATGGGGGTTTTCTACAGGCACTTATCAATTGGTTTGAGATTTTGACCTTTTTTGTTCTTTTCTATATTTCTATGAGAAGACATATTAGAATACATGTACAATAATGTAACAAAATACAAAGAACCAATGCTTTAAGAAGCAACACAACATATACTACATGTAGTATGAAAGATAATATGTTTAGTTATTTGGTCATTCCAATGTTTGAGAAAAGCTAGCACAGATATGTTTTGATTTTTTTGAGTATTTGAGGACTTGTCTTGGCAAGGGAGAAGTCTAACTTAGTCTTGTTTACAATTTTACATCCTTAAAATAGCATAACCAAGTGGTAAGCAAACCTATTAGCACATGTGTGGCGACAAGCAACTTCTATAAAACCTATTACCATATATGAGGTTCAAATCGAGGAAGCTTCCCTAGTGTTCTAACAAAACAATCCAGAGGCAGAGTGTGGCATTTTTCTATACTCAGACTTTCCACTCAGCCGTGCAGCAATTGTTAGTGTTTCATTCATAGGAGACCTATTTCCTGGTTTTCCAAGCTAAATAGAGAAAAAGACGTGTGTTGCACTGTTCTATACTCAGTCTTGCATGAATCTGCATCCTGAAAGACCACATTTCATTCCATCAAAGATTAACTTCCATGCGGTGAACCTTTGTACATAAGAAGGCCGACGGAATATAAACCTGTTGAGCATCATGAATTGTTTAAGTTCAGTGAAACTTAGTTTGTTGCCTTCTTTTGTTGAAATATGAATTCTTTAGAATAGATGGAGTAATACTTAATTACTTGCACTCTCAATTATTGAAAAAAAGGACCACAGGTCATCCATTAATTTTCAAAACGTCTAGGGCGACAATAAAAATAACACATTAACAAGCAACTTCCTACGTGTCACACAATCATTGGGTGATCAAAAGTTGGTCAAGTTCTCAAGTGATCATCAGATTATCAGCCAAATGAATGTTTGATACCTGAGAATGTCTCTCAATAATGTCTGGTTTTCATGTTCCCTAGAATTACCCTTTCTTTTGGTCCAAGTATAGGCTTCTTCTATTCTGTAGTTAGTACTGAAACATCATAATGAGAACCTGATTCTGGACCCACTCAGCTGTATAATCTAATACAAGAATATTCCATGGAACTTTTGAGTGAGATGGTGACTGTAATGCAGAAGTTTATCCCAGGGGTCAATTCCCTTATATTCCCCAAAGAAGTTGAGTCCGGTTCCACCTTCCAATAAATTGAAAAAAATATAAGAGAAGCTCACTTTGACATGGCTCCATAAAAAGCCAGGGACTTGATGGATTCCATGCTGGGTTCTAACAGAGAGCGTGGCGAAGTTGTTGGTAAGTGCATAAGAGGGATTGGTATTGATTTCTTTTCCAAAGTAAAGCTCACAGAAGGGATGAATGGGCATAGTGATCTCCGCTATCCCCAAGATTCAATTTTCTTGGATATAGCAAACATATTTGTCCTACTAGCTTGTGCGGTGAGAACGACAAAGTTATCGCCAAAACCATGACAACCGGCTTAAAACCGTGATGAGGTTTGTGATCGATCCTCAAAGAATAGCTTTGTTCCAGACAGACAGATATCAGACAATATTATACTTTATAAGGAAGTTCTTTATACAACGAGAGCAACGTGGGTAAAAGGGGTCTATGGTGCTAAATATTGGTCTTGAAAAAGCTTAAGTGAAACTTTCTTGGGACTTCACTGGAGGTGTACTTCACGAGCCCATGAGGTGGGCTTTAAGCATGTTTGAATCAGAAACATCTATTTTGTTATGAATAGTGAGATGCATGACCAATAAACTATAGTATATTTAAGTTAATGCCAACCTCTTTGATATGAAGGTCTCAACATACTTCTATATTAAATTGTAAAATAATACTACCTTCGTCCCACTAACATTGGGACAAGAGGAGGTAGTGCTGTTATAAAAAAATAGATTTATGTGGTTGATATTGAATTGATAAAGTAAGAATGATTTAGAATCACACAAACTTTACCAAAATTGGTATGGGACAATTTTAGTGGGACGGACCGCAAAGGAAAGATGGGACAATCTTAGTGGGACAAAGGGAGTAATATTTAGCTAAAATATTAAATTTTAGAACTATTTAATGTCCACTTCTCCACTTCAGTAAAGACTTAGAGAATTTATATAGGTTCAATTTATATAATTAAATACATAACAGGACTAAGAGATTCTGAAACTATTGGTCTTTGATGAAAAAAATTATAAAAAGTATTACTTCAATTGAGATAGAGATTAACTAGACAACTGTTCACTAGGGCAGAGAGTGTAAGTGGTAGAAAAAATGATGGTAGAGTGGACAGAGAGAAACAGAGTATAGACTTTTAAAACTAGTCATCTTGAACAGAGAAAGGCAGGAAGCAAGATAAATTGAAGGATGAGGTGAAACAACATAGATGAAGATCTAGAGCAAGACAAGCTTCATAAACTAGAAGTATAAAATTAAGGAATTTTTATTTTTAGTTTATATTCAATTCTCTAAATAAATGACAAGGGAAGGCTTGACCTCTATACACCCTTGTGGTGGGACCCTTCTCCAAACCCTCACCTTGAGGGGATGCCAATGTGCACCAGGCTTCCCTTTTGTATTCAATTCTGTAAATTCTCTTACGTGGGAAATGACATTAACAGAAACAACTACTGGAAATGCCAAATCAAGTTTATAGAATTCTTGTTGGAGTGTAAAAGATTCTCTAATGGAATTTTGAGGCTTTTTGTGAGTTGCTAACACATACTACCTCCGTCCCACTAAGTTTGGGACAATTCGGTGTACGATGTTTGACCGACGATAAAGCAAACAGATCTCTGTCCGCACTCAAATTATTTTTAGAAGAAAAAAATTACATATTCAGAAACTACATTAAAAACTTTACAAAGTCGCAAAAACCAGAATCAAATTTGATAAAAATTTGATATAAAATTTGATATATAAAGTTAGGGACAATCTTAGCGGGACGGAGGGAGTATAAAAGATGGATCAATAGGCACAAACATGAATAGCACAATTCTTTTTTTTGTTCATTGCGATGTAACGATATGTGTTGCTTGTATTGTACGATACTAGCTAATGCGCTATAAGTACTCCCAAAAATCAAATTTTGATTAAAAAGACTAAATGACTACAAAGCATCAAGTGTATGTACAATCTAACTTTTACACCGTAGAAATGCATTGGAAAATATATAACATACTCCATGAAATTCACAACATCTCACTTACACTTTGTTTTCTTATTCAAAGATACAGGCTGCTCAGCGGTCATGTCAATTTCCAAATCATTCAATTCAATGAATCAGTACATCTATGGAGTTTTACACTATAGATATTGTGCTAGTTCAAAACTGGTTTTACATAAGACCATGATGCTGCAAATGCTATAATTATACTCCCTCTTTCCATGATTGTTCTTCCTATTTTTTTCCTGCTGTGAGTTAAGAAAGCGAAATGGTATGGTTAATATATTTATTTATAAATGAGAGAATCAAAATCAAACCCACAATTCCTTCTTAAAATAATCCGGAAAGAACTTTGGGGTGACCAAAAAGGAAAAGAGGGATAAACAATTAGGGACGAAGGAGGTAACTTTTTAGTTTAATGTATATGAAGAAGAAACCCGTTTTATCTCATTATTCATGCATCAACTTCATTCACTGTGTCCTAATGAAGGCATGTTGGGGGCCTAGTCTCACGACATATCCATGACTGGACCCAAGCATGTGATTCTACATACAAGTATGTGGGCACTCCCACATCCACCCACCAGTCCACCTCAGACAAGCATTATAGTGAGTGTAAAATGGTCATAGATTAGTTAGAAACACTGTTAGCTTTTAAGATGCAAAGTATATTCTCATTCCAATTAGAACCCTACAGAAACTTTGCATATTGATATTAGCTGGTCCACAGGTTAAATAAGGAGAAACATTTAATTGTAGAGATTGAAGTGTTGGTCTCAGACTCTCAAATCTAGTAAACTAACAGATGCATTGATTTCTACATATGTTGATTCAATGATAGACCACAGTCCACATTACCACAACAGTTAAACTTTGTGTATACAGAACATAAAATTGGCAATGTTATGCCAGTCTTTGTGGGAAATGTTATTAGACCACATCAGTAGTTATGTAGAGCAGATCAAGTATGAGCAGATCAATTAGTTTGGGCGCTTGTCACCCTTGAACCACTCTCCATTCAGCTTAATGAAACAACACAACCTACCCAAGTACAAGATCATATTTTTACAAAGCCAAGACATGTCCTGTGAGCATTTGAATTCCTGGATTTTGATGAATCAAACACATCACCCAATAGCCCAACTAAGAACAGCATTTTCTTCCAGTAAAGCACGAAAATGCAGGATAGCCAATAAGGCAATAATAACGATAACATCAGAATATTACCACATGCTGCCACGGTATTTCAATGTGTAGGGGCCGCTCTCGAGGGAGCGATCGAAGTGGCTATGAACCTTGTGTTTTCCCTTCCCACTCTGATCAAGCAGAGTCAGCTCGAACAAAGCCCTGACATCCGTCCCTTCACTAGCCAATGCTATAAATACAGAAACGTAGGCCGAAGTATCTTCGGGGTTCTTACCATCGGGATAGAAGTAGATAGCCCACTGGTGACCACCAACGGAGAAGTTCTCACTGGCGATGTGCTTTCCCACACCCATCCCTTTAGCTAACGAGTAACCCTGGATCACAAACCGGTGCGAGCCGTTCACCGTCTCCGTGATAGAACGCGAGCTCGTCTGCAATGCCTGCGGGCTGTTGGCCAACGTCGCACCAGCGGCAATTGTTCGCGGTGGCTCCGCCATTGAACTCCGAACGATGTTAGGGTTTCAGAAGACTACAAAACATGGAACGAAGGAGAAAGAAGGAGAATTGTGACGATCGTTGAGGTGGTTATTATCCAGAAAAACTTGAGGGTGTTAATGATCAGAAATTCGGACGAATTATTAATGCGATTGTACTGATGGGAAAGAATGGCGAAGAGGATGACGATCGATTAGAGTTTTTTTACCAAAGAGGTGTATTTTTGAATCTTATTTCTCAAATTAAGGTACTTCTAAACTTATTTCCCAAAATAAGGTGTTTTTTGCCATGTCATCTCATTATTATCGTGAGTAGCCACCTCATCTAATTCCACATCACCTACTAATTCCAGGTCATCCGATTTTAAGTGTTTTAAAGGTGTTTCAAAAATCTATAAAAAATTCAGGACGTGGGAATCGAACCCACGTCCTTCCGGTGGAAGCCAAATTTCTTGCCTTAGATAACCCGCTAGACTACACCAATCAATTGGTATGCTATCGCTTTTTAATATTATTAGAGCATACACGGTATATTCTTAAGTCCCATAACACATTACCTATGAGTGTAGTGCGAGTATTCCTGCTCGCTCCTTTAGAAGTATTTTACTTCTTTTCCAAACGATTAAAAAAAAAATTAATTAGAGATATTCAATTAAAAAGTAAACACATAATTAAAATCTATATTAAAAAAACTTAAATTGTGATATTTAATTAATTAATAAAAAATTAATACAAACTTATAATGATAAAACATAATTTGCAATATATAACTAAACAATTAAGAATATACATCATTTTAAGAATATAAATAGTGCTCTCCCGTACTTAACAATCTACAGTGTTTTATTTTTAATTAAACATCACAAATTAAGTTTTTTATTATACGTTTTATTTATGTTTTTATTTTTAAACAGAATTTCTCAAATTAAGTTTTTTATTATATTTTTAATTGTTTGAGAAAAAGGTAATATACTTCTAAAGGAACAAATAATACACGATTAAGATATAGTGTTCTCTGGGACTTAAGAATATACATCATATTATTTAATTATCTTAATAACCAATGACGTAACAATTGATCATTGATGAGTGTAGTGATTCCTCTGCACTACAAAAAATTAGGGGTGGGCGCGGTCCGGAACGGTCCGGGAAATTAGTAAAACTCGTAATGTATCCATGATGTTTCTAACGGTCCGATACGGTCCGGTTTTAAAGATAGAACCATTTGGTACCATGTCGTTTCGGAACGGTACACATGCTAAAAAAATTGAACAAATCTTGCAATTAGTAGATATATCATAACACCAACCAACTCACATGAAATTTCGATATAAATACAAGAAATTGCATATGTAGTGCTAATATTCACAAAAACACAAATAGTGCAACCTAACTAAGAAAAAGTATAGCAAACGATGATACATGAGATAAATATCATCTTAAATTTACTAAGTTCATGTGAAAATATAATAAGAATATCATAAAATACTTCTACATGATAAAAAGAACCTAAAAAGAACTAGTGAGTTAGTGAGTGTATTATTCAATGATCTTAAAAGGCGCTAGTAGATCATCTACTTAGTGTAGCCTAGCGAGTCGTAAGTAGCAAGATTCTTAGTAGATCATCGGCAGGATGTGGGTTCGATTCCCATTCCTTAATTTTTTTTAATTTAGAAACACCTTAAAACTCTTTAAATTGGATGACATGGAGTTAGTAGATGATGTGGACAAGCTGATGTGGCTACTCACGGTAATAATGAGGTGACATGGCAAAAAACACCCTACTTTGGGAAATAAGTTTAGAAGTACCCTAGTTTGGGAAATAAGATTGAAAAATACCCCTCCTTTGGAAATAACTCCGATCGATTATGTCCGACGGAAAGAATATCAGATGAATGACGTGGCGTATGGTTGCTCTGGTTTTTTTATAAGGAAAAATATGGTTTCAAAATAAAATTTTCCTTTTAATAAAAAAATATTCATCCGTGAATCACAAATTATACCGTGGTACCGGTACCCAAAACGGCACCGTTTCTCAAATATTATGTTCTTCTTTTAGCCGGCTGTTGTTCTTCTCCATCACAGTATTTTTTTGTCCGCCATCGTTCGACGCACAACTTCCTCGATCATCCCCGGCCAATTGTTGAAATCATGATTCGTATTACTTCCACCGACCACCGATTAAAAAGTTTCTCAAATCTTCTACTTCCTCACCGCACTACTTCCATCACAGAGTACAAAGCTTCCACCGACCACCAACTTTCCCAGCTTCCCCTTCGATCAATTTCTGTTGCCATTGTTCCTGATTTTCTTTCTTCTTTTTCTTTTCTATTTTTCTTCAATTGTATTAATCTCATTTATCTATTAAAATATGAAAAACATGATTACATTAATTTTTTCTATAATTTTTACATGTTGAAGATGACCCTTATAAATTATTGGTGAAATTCACAAGAATAATCCATACTTTTATGGGTTCTACAATAATAATCCATACTTAGAGTATCTATAAATATAATCCTTACTAGCAATAATGTCCATAAGAATAAATCAAATTTAATTCAAACTAATGCTCATTTAATATTTCCAACCTCTACTTCCACTTTCTCATTCGTCACTTTTCGTCCCGGGGAAGAGAAAAGCGAGAGCAAGTGTTGAAAGTATTAAACAAACATTAATTTGAATTCACCCAGTTTTTTCTTATGAACAATATTGTTAGTTCGGATTATTTTTGTAGACACTCTCAGTAGGGATTATTATTGTAGAATCCCTAAAGGTACAGATTATTCCTGTGAATTTCACCTAAATTATTTTAGACCTTACTCAACTTACATCTTGCGCACACTCAACTTACATCAGGATTTGTCTGAAGTTACATATCTTTTATCGTGAGTTACATGTCGACTTTTCTTATCAAGTTACATCCTGTTTACATTTGATTTACATTTTCCAAAACGCGTGTTACACCACAATATAATGCAAGTTACACAACTCAATAAGCCCATGCTATTAAAAAAATTATTTTTATAAAAAATCATTTTTATAACCTTGATATTAAAAACAAAACACATACACTATTTATGTAAAAAAAAATTGGACAATTAGACTCCTTATTTTCATTGAAATCAATATTTTAATTCTTATACTATGTATTTGACAAGTTACATTTCGACTGTACTTGAGTTACATCAATCAATAACGTGTGTTACATTATTTTACTCGTAAATTACATCACTCATGCTACAGGGACAAAAAAACAGGTATTGTACATGCGTTACTGTTCACGCGATTTTTTTTAAATGTACAAAACTACGTAATTTTGGGATGTGGGGCACGGTGCTCACCGGTGAATATCAAAATTATTCATACTAGTATCTTTTACGGAGTACTTGATTGGAGTAAATTATAGATTCACGTTGAAATTCATGGAAAAACGTTACGTTATCTTGTGGGAAGTGTTACATATTAAATATGTAAGAATAAAGTTAAGAACCAAACTCGAAAATTATTTTAAGAATAAAGTTAAGAAAATTACGGAATATATAGTATCCGTTCAACTATAAACAAAATGTTTAAAAAGTTCAATTTTATAGATAATCTTGTGTTGCGTTTATACATAAAACTAATGTTTTGACACAAACAACTAATACATGTCTTTATACGGTGACTAGTTACTTTACCCGTGCGTTGCACGGGAATGAAACACTTATGTAATAAATTAGATCTAATATGCTTTTTATGATAGTAATTATGTTAAAAATACAAAACAAACTATAGTGATTGAATTAACCAAAAAATCAAGTAAAATCCAAATATGATGTCATTGTAGTAAATTAGGAATTTAATGGTAAGAATGAAATAACTATTTGAATAGGATGAACTAAATGGATGAACCCTAAGAGCCTATAGGCAGCCTTGCTTCTCCTTTCTCTTCCAATTAATTATCGTCGAAGAGTAGGAATCGATTAATGATTTTCCGCAATAGAAACTCAACTTTGCTTATTGTGTTCGAATCCCTGGAGGAATTCATATGACATCTACGGCATCTATTCGATCTATGATAATTAGGTGAGTCCTTCATATTTCTTTGTCTGGTTTCCTTCCCGGTATATCTAGTGTTTTTGTTCTCCTCGATTGTAAAGTGTTTTCTGTCCCCGCTAGCTTTGGTTAGTCGGATGTGCTGACTTCTCGGATGGATTGCGTGAGCCGGAATTGCCGCGGGTTAGGGAATCTAGTTGTGGTCTAAGTGCTAGAGGTCAATATGGATTATGGAGACTAATGGAGCCAGACCAAAAAACAGCTTTGCGGCGGTGCTACTGGATCAGCACCGCCTGGAATTCAATTAGACCTTGCGAGCGGGATGCTTCCTTTGGACGCGGCTGGTCAAACCTCTTTTCCCTTCTCGATGGCTGGTCAAATCTGACGGTATCCTTTGGAGGTGGCTGGACAAACCCCTTCTATCTTCCCAATGGCTAGTGAAATCAGACGGGCTTTTTGGAGGTAGATTATCAAACCTCTACTTCCTTACTGGTGGCTGGGAAAACCAGAAATTCTAACTCTTTTTGTTATTTTCCTTTTAATAATTCTAGTTTTTTGTTTGTTAATTTTAGCAGCATGAAGAGCGACACTGATAGATTAGCCTATCAGATTGCGGGGTTAGCGAACTTGACTGGTTCTCAAGGGCTAGTCAGTTCTATGTCTTATCTCAGGATAATTCTGAGTTACTGGATTGCTTTGTCTCTTGTCATTTACATTATTAATATTTATTAAGTGTCTTTCTTCAAAAAAAATGGTAAGAATCAAATTTAAACTATCACAAGGATCCAAATATAAGTCATGAAATTGTGAAGGAAAATTGCAAAAGTTGTTAATTTGTGTCTGCTTTTTCACTTGAATTCTTAAATTCCTCAACTATTATTGCATTTATATTGCATCTCTATTTCCCTTCCATGACCTAAAGAAGGAACGAAGGATTGAAAAAATCAAAATTGGGGCACAGAATTAAAAAAGAATCATAAAGAAATCAATACAGAACGTTTTGAAACAATTTAGATGGAGTAAAGGGTCAGTTTGGTACTCGAACTTGTAAAAAAGGTGTCAAATAAGTCCTTATATAGAAGATTATGTCCGGACGTGCCATTTGAGATGGCTCCCGGTGGAATTTTAAAAAAAAAAAAAAATAGCATCTTATTCATTAAGTCTAGTTTACTCATACCAAATTTCAGCTAA